GCCATTTTAAGGATAAATAAAAGCAGATTTTAAGGATATTGAAATTATCTTCTTTACAGTAGAAATTCATGAATTATCATGGAATTATATATATTATATATATATATATAATGAAATACTCTTGTATTTTTCAACAATCGTATATTATTTCATCCGCTTGAACATTAAATATTACATAATGATTACATGATTATACATTTTTCTAATTCTTCTTTTATTTATGTATACCTAGTAATGAATAGCTATCTTTGTACCTTTTATCTATGGCTTTATTTAGAAAATCCTTTTCCATCACTGGGCTTAAACTTTTTAAACGTCAAAACTCGTGTTGTGTTGGTAACGTGAAAAATGATATAAGCGGCTTCTAGTATTATTTTATGTCAATGAAGATTAGTTTCATTAGTTTCGTGTATTTTGTTTCAAAACGTTGATTGTTTAATAATAAAAGCAGATTATCACAGTTATACTATACTTTCAAAATGGTGAAGTTAACACCAGAAATAATTCATCAGTCCTTGCAGTACATAAATCCTGCAAAAGAGCGTGAACTAGATCTTAGAGGTTATAAAATTCACAAATTGAAATATGGGAGCAACGTTAGATCAATTCGATACTATTGATTTGTCTGACAATGATATAAGAAAACTTGATGGATTTCCCTTGTTAAAACGTATGAAATGTTTATTACTGAATATAATCGAATTATGCGCATTGCCGATAATTTGCATGAAAATTTGCCAAATTTGGAAAGTATTATTCTCACTGCAAATAATATTCAAGAATTGTCTGATTTAGATCCGTTAGTTCATCTAACTCATTTAACAACATTGAGTCTTATGAACAATCCAGTAGCATCAAAGCAACACTATAGATTATATGTAGCTTATAAATTACCAAACCTACGCTTGTTGGATTTCCGTAAAATCAAACAAAAGGACGTGAAGAAGCCATAGCATTATTTAAATCAAAGAAAGGAAAGACATCCAGAAAGAAATTGCCAAGAAACCTAAAACATTTGTTCCTGGTGATAAATGAATGAACAGGAGAAAAATGGACAGTTATCACAGCAAGAAATTCGAAATATTAGAGAAGCTATTCGTAATGCCAAAACACTAGAAGAAGTTGAAAATTAACAAAAATGCTTCAGTCTGGACAAGTTAAATCTTTAGTGTAGTTTTCACATTGCTTATAAGAATTCATAAGTAATTTTATATATTTAAGATATCATAGACTCCGATAATGTTATTCTTCATGCAATAAAAATAATGTTTTATTTAAAACTGGTGTACTTTGAGTTCTTTAAATTATGCAAATCGTGTAATAGAATATTAAGTATTGAATGTATTAAAAACCCTTGTTAGGAATTAATTACCTTGTTTTGGCAGAAATATAAGAAATAGTCAGGCATTATCATTTTTGCAGTTAATTTGATCATATCAGAATTGTAAATTATATAACAGAATTTGTTTAAAATATATTTCAGTTTTTTGTTGATAATTATTTTATATTTACTAGAAAAACATATGAATGCACAATGTACTATTATTCTAGATATTATAAATCATATTTAAAATGGTTTGTGCTAAAGTATCAGACAATTAGGTATCAATTTCAGATGTTACTATGAATAAATTTTCAAACTCTAGACCGTTTCTATAATGATTTCATGGATTTTAAGAAATTCAAAAGAGATTCGTTTGGAGTTTCATATATTTTTAAAATGCAGTTTGCGAAATATTATTTGAGCATTCTGATCCAATTCCATCCTAATTCCCGAAGATTCCTAATTTATTTAAAACGTTTTTAATGATTTTGAAAATACCTGATAAATTTCTATATGTTACCCATAATGTTAAAATGCCCATTAAGAAATATTTTTTTTATCTATGTTTTGTTAAAACATTTTGATACATTTTTTGTTTAATCGAAAAACTAGTAATAGAATTTATATCAATTAAGAATCGCGTTGAATCAAGCTCTTCGTATGTTCAAAACTTGTTTAAATCATTTGGATAAAAAAATAAAGGTTATAATTGGTTTTTTTCCTTTAGAAAAATGAAAATATATTAACTTGATTATATTACAGTAGAAGTCCATTAGTCCGGCACGCTCAGAGCCAGTGTAGGTGATAAATTATCAAAAATTTTGGACTATCGGAGCTAATTTAATTTAAACTAGTGGTGTATGACACTGATAAATAAACATTTTCTAATATTTATTAGAAATATATAAACTGAATTACAAAGTTAAAATTATTTATTTAAATATAAAAGTGAGATTTAGAACTTTAGCCAAAATTAAAATCTGAATTATTTTCGATATACAAAAAAAAATTTTTTTGAAAAAAAAAATTAAATAAAAAAACATCCTGTTTTGTTAACACAAGCAGAAAGTGTTTTTGAATCATTCAAATCGGATGCTTAGTTCTTTCAGAAACTGCCATTTGTGCATTTAACTCTGTATCTTCAAAATGGCTGAACCTGCCTTTGCCAAAAACTAGTCACCACTTCTTCCAATTATTACAAATTAAAAAGTTTTTTGGATCATTCAAATCAAGTACTTTGTTCTCTCAAAAACTCGATTTCTATTTTCTGTACTTTTTGCTCCGTATTTCAGTAACGGCTGGACCTGCTTTTGCCAAAATTAATCAGCACACTTCCCTATCAATAGGAATCAAATGTTTTTTTAACCATTCAAATTGTTGATCCGCGTCCGAAAACGTGGACGAAAAATTGCGGACCCGTGTGGACCTACGGAATTTAACATTGGGGTATTGCAAAAAAGTAACTTGAACATCATGCACCGCACTCTGAATGAAATCCGGAGAACAATCTTAAACGCTCCTCGTTGCACGCCAACATTAATTATTCACCAAGACACAGACTTGCTCACAATTGTTACTTTTTTTGAGCGAAAATAGAGTCGTCTGTGTGCCTTCTAGATTACGTAACCGTTATATTCGATAACGTTATATGAGATGTTACGTTATATTAACATTTTAATAACGTTTTGTGGTTTACTGGGAATAGCAGAAGAAATTGCAGTAGTTGCAGTAGTTTATGCTTATTTATCTATGAGTACTTGCTTCTAAATATAAAAATAGAATTGAGGTGTATTGTAGCCAGTAGAGTACACCTGGAAGGCCACCCCACCAGGTTGAAAAAAAATTGCCACATGACATCATCTAGACCTCATCTCAATTATATATAATTAACTTTATTACTTTTATTTTGCTATATTTTATTGTTTTTCTTTTTTTTTTATTTCAGTATGTTTGTTACCATGTTAAATATAGCTCTAGTAGATACGCCCACAACTGACAATGATACACCACTGGGTGTAACTATACTAATTTGCAATCAACTTTATTTTCACATATATTATAGTCAGCACTCTCTGCTTAATATTTTAATTTAAATAGATTGCAGAATAAAGTGAATAAAAGAAGTCTGTGAATTCCATGCCAACCATCAGATTAATTGCATATATTTTCAGCAACTCCTATATTTTGGCCGAACTGTTTTTTGCCCACTAATTGCCCAATTTGTTTATTAATCTATGGTTTTCCCTTTTCTATGCGTGGACTTTTACCGGATTTTCTTCTGAATGTACTTCAATAAATTATTTGAACAATAATCTATCTATTGATGATCTATTGTATGTATCCAGCTTAAGGGTGAGCAACCTTTTTAACTCATGAGCCAAATGGGACCAAAAGTTTTCAAATTTTATGTTCGGCCACATTTAAATTTTAGTAGTAAGCCGCACTCAGCATAACTCACAAAGATTAATTGTAGATAGATATTTCATAAATTAATACAAGGGGCAAAGAATGCATTACAATTGATTTATTGATGAGAAAAAGTTGTTAAAATAAAGAAACTTCTGTTTTAGAAATGCATGGTGGCCGCAGATTGCTCATATTTGATCTAGCTGATAAATTAGCTCCTAAACAAATTAGAATATGATATAATCATATGTACATGTACATACATTTTTGATGAATATACCAATTAAATGTATTTTGATTAGCTGTTCTATAGCTACTAGCTTTGGACCATTATGTCTTGGCTTTGGAATTTTAATTCGTCTCTTTGTTTTCATGTTTCAGTTGTTTACCGACTGACAATAAGTAGCAAACTTCATTTTTGTATGTCAAATTGTATTTGAGCCAATCAAGAAAGAGTATTAGTCATTCTTCAAAACATTTCTGTTCACGCCCAAAGTATCCCGAGAACTTTGAATAGCTCTCAAGCGTTTTTATTTGCTCACATTAAAAAGCAAAATTTTCCGAAACGGTGCCGGACTATCGGGCATTCCGGATTATTGGGGGCCGCATTTCTACGGATTCTATGTAAATCTCAAAATGGTCAGATATCTTTGAATTTTTAAAAACTATTCTTAGTTATAAAATATTTACAAAAAATATGTAGTAAAATACATATATATATAGTAATTACTATATATATTTTATAAAATATTTGCAAAAAATGTAGTAAAACTTAGTAAAATGAATAGTAATTACTATATATATTTTATAATATTATATTATAACTTATTATTCTCAAAATATTATTTACATTGAAAAAATTCAGAAGAGTGGCTAAATTGATTAATATTAATTTAATAAAACTAACATATTCTAATCATGGTAATCCTTCATAAATGTTTTCAAAATAAGAGATTGAATTTTTTAGGCAAAAGAAGATGGTGATAGAGAAAATGATGTTCCGCTTGCAAATATTGTGCCTAAAATTGAAGTACCTGAAAGTGATAAACAGGAAGGACAGGCAGAATTAAATAGAGAAGCTATGGAAGCCACAAATCATGTACCAGCAAATTTACATAATATGAAGGAATCAAATGCTTTCCCATCAAGTACGGGAACGAATGATAATTGTAATACATCATCAGATATGACAACATCATGTCCTGATTTGTCTGATACATTTTCAAGCAAACCTTCAACTTCATCTACATTTGGATCGTGTTCAACAGTTCCGATTCGCTTACCTGTGTCAAGGCCTGCACATACTGATACGAATATGTCCAAAAATTTGTCTTTTACAAGCTCACCTGATAGTACTAATTTTGTCAGTTCATGTATAGGAATATCTTCAGATAATAAAAATCAATTTAATACGATTATACCACCACCAACAAGAAGACCTCCAATGCTAGAAACAATTGAATCTGTTTCCGGTAATGGATTACAGTTACCAAGAATATCTTCATCAACTTTAATCAGTTCTGAACATGAAAGCTCTCCTATAAAATCTATTCCTGTTATCACAAAATGGCGTTCCCAATGTAATAAGTCAAGCATTAGAACTTCGGGTGTAAAACAAAAATCTTATATTGGACGATTGTCAAGAGATCCTAGTATTCAATTAACACCTAGTAATGCTAAAAATATTAAAATAACAAATATTATAAGAAGAGGAAAAAATTTCAGAGCAAAACCTGCATCGAATGAAAAACCTGCATTGAAGGAAAAACCTGTTTATACTACTATGCATCAGATTTTTGGGAGAAATAGATTTTTGAACGGAAGAAGAGGTATATTGTACATGCTTTTTTATTTTCTGCATGCATTTCCTAATTTATGTTAAAATATTGACTATCTGGAACTTTTTGATATGCTCATATTTAATGCAAAATTTTATAATATATTCATTATAAATATCTTTTTATCAAGCATCTACTTTTAGGATAAATGGACTATGTTGCACTTCTTAGAGCTCCAGCCACAAACTTGGATGATTTAATAATCAAAACTTAAAAATTTAGTATTTTATTCACATTTTTGAAGATTTTATATATGAACATTTATATCAATTTATGTAATAAATCTCTATGCATATGACAATATACATATTTTAATCAATAAAATAGTTTAAATGTTGTTTTAAATTTATTAAAATTGTTTTGCAATTACACAATTGATTATATGCATAAGAATGTTGTATCTTAGAATATTTTTAACATAACATAGCATCCTAAATCATTAGGTATCAAATCTGATACCATGTGATTTTTAGAAGTTACAATATTGATGTAGTATTAGGAAACAAATTTTGGTGCGGAGCTTATATTGCTCATTATTTATATATTTTTATTTATTGACTTCCCGAATGAGAAGTTTATGCTTTCATTAAAAAAACGATTTGCTAATTTTATGTTTTCTCGACGTTTCAAGCCAATCTGAATCGAATGAGATCAAATCTGGAAAAAGTATGTGTGTGTGTAAACAGATTTTTTGCCGTAAATCGACGTTTTCTCAAAAACGGCAGGACCGATTTCAAAAAAGCCATTTGATGTATCCATAAGGTGACCATATTTTTTTGCCAAAATATGGTTTGTTGTTTTGCTATACATGTACATTTTTTCTGTTCAAATTCTCTAGTTGAAATATATTTTAAAAAATATTGGCAATCAAAACATTTTTAAGAATCCGGGACAAGACATCTAAAACCTGGAACTTCCCGTAGGGTTAGTTACCTAGACAATATTAGATTACGATATGCTTATTATTATATATATTTGTGTGTAAAAAGATGCATTCAATTTGGATGCAGAGGGCGAATAATCCTTTCAAGGATGACCTAACTCTTCGGTTTGTGGCACAAATCGAAGATAATTTGAAATCGAAACCAATTAGAAGTGTCTACTTTACGGCAATAACAGAATAGTTTTCAAGTCACTGGAGAATGCTCTGATACAGAACCAGAAGAACAATCTGCAACTCCAAGGACAAGCCCAAGTAATTATAACTCTAAATACTTCAATGCCACTTGCAAAAAAATATTAATAAAAAAATCTTATGTTCTTAGTTAGGAGATGAAAGCCTAAAAACCTTGAAAAAGATTTTTGCAGCACCCCTAAGATTGTCAAGTGCAGGTTAAAAGCCACCTATTCTGACACCAGTTTTCTGCAAAGGTATTTCTTCAAAATGCAGCAAAAATAATTAATTAATCAAATATGATATAACAATATATTCAATAGAAGTCCTTGGTGGTAGCTGCAAATTGCCGCTGAATGCAGTGATAAGGCGTAGGAGTGCCTTAACACCTAGAAGATTTCGGGATTTAAAAGGATTAACAAACAATGCAATAATTTAATATTTATTAAAGAATAAATTCCAACAGATAGTATACAATGTTCTGAGAAGTTTTCAAATATTCCGGAAACGTAAAATGTAAGGGCAAGAATTTTGATATTGTCTCAATTAAGAGAGCATACTCAAAGACCAGGCAGTTTATAAAAAGCAAGGGTTTAGTTATAGTTAACTAAATCTCCTTGCAATAAAACCTGGATTAAAACGATAGATAGGTTCATAAATAAAAGAAGAGTATGGGGTAGGTTTGAGCTACAATTGGTATAAATTAAAAGTAGTTCAGGGTTTTGGTTACTTACGTTTAAAAAAACACATACAGAAACTATTCAAAGATTTTGTTGATGTAACTTTATTAACGATTGATTAGCTAGCAAAATAACTATTAAATGGAGAGATAATAAAAAAGAATGTCTCGTAAATGAATTTTAATCCTAGGAATTTAGTTTTATCTCAATTTGGATATCAATATATATATTTTTTGTTTTTAGGATTATTTTGTTTCGGAAGTACTCGTTCCTTTTTAAAAATGTGCTGTTCTTTTTATCCTTTTAAATTATCGCATTACTTGTCATTCCTCCTAAATTTTTTATTCCATCGTCAATACTCCTGCGCTTTTCACTTCTTAGTTTTTAAGTTTTTAATATATTATTATTAGTCATTAAGTAATTAATATGAATAAGTTATTTCTCTTTAATTTGTAGTACTTTAAAAATATGTCTGTAATATACTTTAATTAATAGTAGTCAGTTATTTCTGTTTAGTTTATAATTCTTCAAAAATATGTCTGTGATAAATTTGAAAATATATTTTTGTATTTCGTATGTTTTGTTCTTATTTCAAATGTTAATTTTTTTCAGATTTTTTGGCTATATTGATTATATGTACAAATGTAGAAGTAATACCAAGGGTAATTTACATACTGTATGTACATGTGCTGCCATGTTGTGATCTATTTGTAAACTAAAATGAGTGTAACGTCAAATCGCCCGAGATAGCGATCTATTTATGCTTATTTATCTAGGATTATAGCAATCGCAAATCGCATTCATGGTAAGTTATAGTCATTATAGTATACTCTTTTTTATGATTATAGTAATCGCAAAAAAATCAAAAATGAAAATTTGTATATATCTTTACGTTTCAAAGGTTTCTGTACATTTTGGCATACCTTAGAAATAATGGATGTATGTGTATGTGTACGTGTGCGGATAAAAATTTTCGTTGACGATTTCGGGAACACCGATCAACCGATTTCAATAATTCAAAAAACACTCGGTTCGTATTGATAAGGAGACGTGCTGATTAGTTTTTGGCGAAGGTAGGTCTAGCCGTTCCGAAGATACGGGGCAAAAAGTGCCAAAAACGGTAACTCAGTTTTTAAGAGAACGGAGCGTCCGATTTCAATAATACAAAAAACATTTTACTTGTATTGACAAGATAAACAAATGATTGAATTTTTGGGAAGTCAGATCCAGCTGTTATGAACTCTCAATAAAAATAAGTTTAAAAAATGTTATTTGGCAGTCAAAAATGTTTTTTGGACATATGTACATCAAATTATCAGATATTTTATAGAGATTTTGATAATGTGTACACATTTTGTGTAAATTTTTTTGGGTTCCGTGCCAAGATTTTTAATTATGGTACGGGAAGTTCCAGCAATGAGCCTTAAAGCACGATGCCATGCACTCCACTAGTTATGTGATGTGTAATAATACATGTCATAGAATCTATGACAGAAAGATAAATGAATAAGCATTTAAAGATGTATTTCCAAAAAACAGTAGATCAGTAGATCTATACTCTTTTTTTATCTGTGGATATACAGCTAAAACTGTAGTGTTGGCAACTCTATGAGTATCTCATGTTATTTTCTTACCTTCACATGATTGGCATGACTTAAAAGTATGAATCATTTATTATTGTAAAATACCAATGTCATGTATTTTGTGCATAACCTTCAAACAATAGAGAGTTTTTCTACACTTTTGGAAATAAAATATATTATTATTGTATGACTTTTATAATAATGGAATATATAAAAGAAAATGATGAAGTTTTAGTGCTGGGAATTACAGAACTTGTTGAGAAAATTCAAAATATTTCCGGTGTAAAAACATCATGCCTAAATTCAATAAATGAACTTTTATCAGGCGAGTTTTCGATTTCTTAAATTATTTACAAAGGAATACTCATTAAGGTTTATAACTTTTATATATTTAGTATATTTGTCCTATTTATATTTTTATTTTTACAGATAAACAAACTCAACATAAATTTAATGTCGTTTTATCTTTTATGAGAAATGATTCGCGAATAATAAGTGCTGAAGTCCTTTCACGCCTGCTAGAAATTTTGAAACCAAATGGAAAATTCATATTTTATTACTCGTATGAAGATACTGCTTCCATAGTATCAAATTTAAAAATTTATGGGTTTACTAAAACTTCTATTAAAGAAAACATTGAAAACTCAAATGAGTTTTATTGTGAAAAGCCAAGTTTTGAGGTAAATTAATTTTAAGAAAAAAATGCTAAATTTAAGTTTTATTTATGTTTACTTACTTCCATTTATGTTTACCATTTTTGTTTTTTGTCTACACTTATTGTTAAATCCAATTCAATGGAAATGGAAAATAATTATAATTATTATCTAAGCTTAAGATATATATATATGTATATATATATATATATATATATATATATATATATATATCTTAAGCTTAGAAAGGTTTTATTTATTTTTTAGTGTCTATATTTATTATGTGATTTGAATTTAAATCTAAAAAAAGTTGAGCTGTTTAAAAAATATTACAAGTACAAGGTTTAATAGTTTTTTTTACTGGTTATCTTATTATGGGTAAACTTCTCTTGTTAAACATCTTTCATGTTCATAATGTCTATACATTTTATGGTGACCATATTTTTATATTTTAAATTTGGGAATTTTTTTAAAGAAATCTAGCAAATACTATTTAGATATATAAAGTATATAAAATTCCACTCATCATTACTATTATTATTTTGAATGAATAAAAATTAGTGAATCAAAATTGCGGGCAATGATGTTTTTGGCATTGTCTAAAATTCTGTACACTTTTCTACTCTTTTTTTAGTAAGTAATATCACTTTTAGTATCTGAATATGAAAATGTGAGTATAATAAGAATCTTTTTAAAAAGTCTGAACAATTCTGCACGAAAAACTTGAGTTTAAGACAAATATCATTTCTAGAATAATCTGGAGAGCAAAATGGAAATCAAGAGCTGTCCTTGCCAATCTAGGGCATATGGTCACCTTAATAAATTGACTCTTTCTTTCTGCATATTATAGTCTATTAGTTTATGTTTATTATTTATATAATTATCTTTTATATATTGTTTAATAATAGATAACAAATAACAATATATTGTACTTTTAAACATTGAATACAGGTGGGTTCATCTGTGAAACTATCATTAGCTGCAGAAAATAAAAAAGCAACAACTGTTTGGAAGCTTGATGACGATGATGATGATGAAGTAATTAATGATGATGACTTGTTAGATGAGGAAGATTTAAAGAAGCCCGATCCTAGTAGCTTAAGAGGTAATTACGGCAATACTATCAAAATGTTAAATCTTTATTCATGTTAGAAAATATTAGAAAATCAATATATAGTTAGATGATTAACACTGAATCTAGTAGTGCAGTAAATGGAGTGGCAAAAAGGGTGTAACGTCTGAATTTTTTTTACTGTGCTAAAATTGCATGAAATTTTGGAAGTGCTCTAATCTTACCCTTAAATTAAAAAGTAAGAACTATTTGCACTACGAAACATGTGCAAATGTTTGAAACTGAAAACGTGTTTAATATTAAATAATAAAATTGTAAAATATTTCCTAATACATTTACCTCACTATAAAGTAATTTTCAATCCCTTTAAAACTCTACAACCTTGCGAATATCCTTTGAGTTGAAAAAAGACCTAAAATATAATAATTTAATAATAAAATAAAATTAATAATTTAATATATATAATTTTTATGGTATGACATAAAAAGATTTAAGTATAAAGTAAATAATATTTAATCCTCTTTATCTCAATTATCAAATTTCCAAAATTTTTATATATATAATATAAATATATATATACGAGTATATATATATATATAATGGTAGTGCTGCCTTAGGGCAGGTCCGTGAGCTGAGTTAAACTCCAACTCGATTCAGGGAAGAAGTAGTGTGAGAGTTTTTTCCATTTCCATTTTACACCGCAGTGCCCGAGATGTGCTTATTTTCAATTGAAAACATATTGAAAATCTATATGTGTATATATATATATATATATATATATATATCTTGAATAATGATTTTCAGCCAATCGTCGAAATAAAAGAAAACAAATTAATACACGTTTCGGCACAGGTTGTGTGTCATCATTCAGCAATTCTTTGATAAAAGTATCACACCAGGAAAAACCATTTAAAACTCAGTTTTAAAATTAGAAACAAAACATGTTCAGTTAATATTGTTTATTTTTCTATATTTATTTTATATGTAATGTATGATTGGTTTTTCTATTTGTATTTATTCAAAAAATGGTTTTTCCTGGTGTGATACTGTTAACAAAGAATTGCTGAATAATGACACACAACCTTCGTCGAAACGTATATTATGAATAAATATTTGTATTTATTTGTTTTCTTTTATTTTGACGATTGGGAGAAAACCATTATTCAAGATATGTCTCAACATCGAACAAAAAATTTATTATAAATATATATATATATATATATATATATATATATATATAAATATATATCTTGAGGATTTTTTGTTTGATGTTGAAACATATTGAATTGAATAAAACAGCCAATGCGTCGAATGAAAAAATATTTATTTTAAATTTTTGTACGTTTTGAGACTATATGGTTCTCAAAATTCAGCTAAAAGAAATTTACAATGTAAGGAAAAGTGATAGAAAATCATATTTACAGAAATTAATTACATCTTGATAGTTTTCTGAAAGTAAGCAAGAAGAACTACGTTTATTTACACAATTTGAATTTAGAAAGATAAAACAAGATTCGGAAAATCTTTTAAGGTCCACATTTTTTTCTTTATATAAAATTATAGGATGGTCAGTATTAAAAGTGTTTGAAATTAATAATGTGCTCAGAAAACATTGTTTTAAATTCTTTTTTTTTTTTGAGTTTTAAATATGCTGATTCATTCCATTTCTGGATATATTGGGAACTTTTACTGATGTAACAACTGTCACATTCTAAACAATTAATGTTATAAACGGAATCGGTGATTCTGTCAGACGGAGATTTGGATTTTAAAGTAGAAAACGGGGAACTAAGTGTGTTGTCAAATGTAAAAACTAACAAAAAATCTTGAACAGAAATACGTTTTTTTTTTAAATAAGAAAAGCTATGTAAATAAGGTAAACAAATAATATTTTTTTTTGTATTTACTAAAGAAAGAAGGAGAAAAGTTTGAATCAGCAGTAAAATATATTTTTTTGTAAAACGGATATAACATTATTATTACCAACATTGGAAATGTTTAAAAATGCTAACCTATTTTTAATTATATTATTGATTAAATGTAAAGGATAAGAGTTATTTGTGATAATGGAGCAGACTAAATCCAAGTTCTTATTCCAAAAAGTTTTATTACTTATAAGAGTAGCTCTATCAATAAGAGAAATGATAATGAAAATTGTTACTGGATGAGAATGAAACGATAAGTAATTAATATATCTACCAGAAGAAGTTGGTTTGTGAAACCAAGTAAAAGAAAGGTTGAACAGGAAGTTTATGGTAGAACAAAATTTTCAAGTAATTTTAAAGTTATATTTTCTAAAGGAGGACTAATGCTAGAAGCCATAATTTGGTTGGAGTGCTATTTTAATAATAAGAGCTAAAACTTGAAGCAAAGAAATTCGAAAACATTTATATTAAGGACCACCCTAATATAACTACCACCTATATATAACTTGAAAATCATGTTCAATGAGTTTTCCTAGAAATTGGTGTAGGATTTGATTAAAAATAGTTTGCAATATTTTTAGACAGCAACAAATAAACTGGTGTGTTACTAATTTGTACAATCTAAGGCAATTTAAAATTAAAATACGCTAATAATTAATTTTCCTAAATAACAATTCATATGATAACAGTGACGATTATCTTCTTCTTATATATAAAAATGGATCGCAAAATGTGTTGGTAAGCGCATAACTCAACCACGCCTGAACCAATTTGGCCAATTCTTTTTTTAAAATGTTCGTTGATGTCCAAGGATGGTTCTTACGGCGAAGAAAATTTGAATAATTGTCCTGAAAACCCTAAAAACAGCCATTTTCTAACTAATACAAATAATCGTAGTCGGCTTCTCGATATTATTTCTTTTGTTTTACTTTCGGCAGGCGATAAAATTGGTATGGCGTTAAAGAATTTGACTTCAAGCCATATAAGATTAAAAAAATCAATTTCAATGTCCATTTGCCGCCCTTGCCGGTGGTATTTTTTCTGCATTTTCTGTTATACTCTACTGAGTGTGCTTTTGTTTTGTTTGTAGTGTTTTGTTATCTACCTATGAATAACAAGTTATTGCATGTGACACAATATTTTAATATTGCCTCCTATAAGACGAGGCAATTTAAGTAGAAGAACACGAAATGCTACAAACCAAGCTAATTACCGATCTAATCGTATTGCACAAGAACATGACGACCGAAATGAACATAAAAGTTACTCAATACCAAATGGGCCGCTATGTTAGTAGTAATGAAGGAATTTGGCGAATATTTTCTTTTCCAATTCATGAGAGACACCCTTCTGTTATTCATTTAGCTGTGCATTTAGAAAATGGGCAAAGGGTGTACTTTACAGCAGTGAACGCAGGTCAAAGAGCTGCTCAGCCACTATCTACTACATTAACCAGTTTTTGGAATCAAGAAGAACTCTACAATGGCTAAGGTTTTGCAGCAATATCAATTGATCGTTTGGGATGAATGCACGATGACACATAAAAAATCTTTTGATGCTTTAGACAGAACCTTAAAAGATCAACAGAGCAATCAGAACCAATTTGGTAGATTTTTTTGACAGGACGAAGTCTGTCGGGTCAGCTAGTTTAAAATAAAAATGACTATGGTTATGCACGATATCGGATTTGGTAGTGTTAGAATTGTTAAAAAAAAAAATCAGCATAAATCTTTTTTTGCAGATTATAGTTTAGTTTTTATTATATTTTTTATCATAGCCTTTTTATCATACCTTATATAAACTCTTATATAAGGTTTGCAGATTGTAGTTTAGTTTTTGTTAATTTTTTTATTAAAACCTTATATAAACTCTTCAATTCAATAAAAATATTTTATGATTTTTTATTATAACAATATATGAACTGTTCAATTCAATGGAACAACTTACAATTTATCCTGTCTTATTGGTCTCTATAGAACGCGATAGAAAGTACTAATTTTGTGTCTCCCATAGCACGGTTACCATATAACGCAATAACAAGTTTTCGTAGAACAAACTAATTCATAGAATAAGTATCAGGATTGTACATTAAATCTAAGTTCTCATAGCCGGGTTTCCATATTACACATAGGGTTCACTATATATCTCTCGTATAATTACATTGACAGGTCAAATAGTCTATCTTAATTTTGAATGAATTTAATAAACTAAATAATAATTTTCATTTTTATTGTAAAATATTTACACAAGATAAGAAAACCTTAGTAGTTTACATTATGCGCAATGCCACATACAGCAAAATAAATTATTTATCTTGCTGCTAAATCTTTTATACGAAATGAAATTAATTGTGCATCATTACAGTTTGTGGGACCACTGGAAAGAGGAAAGCTTGCAAGGATTGTTCTTGTGGTTTAGCTGAAGAATTGAAAGCTGAGGCAGGAGGTTTAGCAAATAAAATTGACAATCCAATACAAAAATCATCATGCGGAAGTGTGAGTAATACTTTATTTAAGTCAGTTTCAAACGTAATTTTATTACTTTTAAATTATTATAGTGTTACTTGGGTGATGCATTCCGTTGTGCTACATGTCCATATTTAGGAATGCCTGCTTTTAAGCCTGGCGAAAAGATTAAACTGTCTGATGATCAGTTGAAAGCAGATATTTAAACTTTACATAATTATTAATATAGTTTTTCTTTAAGTTTTAAATTGAAAATGTTAAAAGTGAAAAAAATTGTAACCAAAAATGTAAAATAGAGAAGTAATTAATACCTATATTACATTTTATTTTAATTTATAATTGTCGAAATGATTTTATGAAATAGCCTATTAAAATTAATTGTTAAATTCTTAAATTGTAGATAAATAAATTAGGTCCAAACAAATCAACTATAATACACAAAGGTCATTTGTGTAGTATTTATTTTATTTCCTTTCAATATTTTTTATTATCATTTGAACATATATATATCCTAGATGACCCGACAGACGTCCTGTACCCATGTATACAATTTAAGTTCCAAATTTTTTAATATCCTATCCTATACTTTTTAATATTCTATTTAATGTCCTTTTATTTGTGGTATCAGCATTAAATAAAGTTTTGGAAACTGCAGTTTTTTTTATCAGTATAAGAAATTCTGAAAGAATAAATATAGTATCTATGAAAAAAGAACAATATATAAAGTTATTTCCTTTTTGGCAATTACAATTTTTAAATTACATTTTTCTTACTACAAGTTTGTGGACTTGTTACACAAATACCAAGCTGAAAACATGTTCTGTTTGGAACTTTTTTATAATAAAATATATTATAATTAATAAATATTATATATTGGAAATCGCATTGATTAATTTTTGAGTGAAACACCCCATCTTGGAAATAAATACTTGAAATTTTTATCTAAATAACTAAACCTCAATTTTGCTTGATTAAGCCAATTATTACACATATTGGGAAGTTTATGCAACTTGCCTTAAGGGAAAATGCACCTTGCACATGTACTTGATTTAACTATTTTTGTAATAATAAATCTTATATATAAAATTCCTCTTACTATACGGGTGTATGATTTGGTACTTCTCTTAAACGGTTATTCGGATTTTGATAATTCTTTTTAGAGTTTATTAAGGAAACTTTTAAGATTTAATGAACGATAAAACTATAGTAATATTGTAGAAGTGAATGGCAAAAATTACAAAAAACACTTATCATTGTTTGACATTGAGAACTGTTATCTGCCAGAAATATCAATTCACTTGAAATTTGAATTTAGCTGAAATTATGAGCCCAGATAATATCAGAATATAATATACAAGAAAAATGTAATGCCCACAATATTATTGCCGAAAAGCAGCTGAGATGTGCCAGAAATTAAAATAAGATGCAGTCAACAATACTGTAACTGTCAACAATATACATGTTGGGATGAAATTATAGAATTCAGTTTGATAAATAACGCAACAAGTCCAAAATTGCATATACATTATCTCTTAATTTTATACTATAATAACAAATAATCATTCTTAATAAATAACTAGTAATAAATATTGGACTAAAAGTGGACAATCTATAGGCGACACTCGTACACCAAACGACGTACGACCTGTACGTCAAACGGTGCGAAAGGGTCAACTTAATTACTGCAGGCGTAATAACGAATTTCAAAAACAATTTATTTAAAAATTTGTACGGTACATATCATTATAATATAATCCCCTTACCTTTAATTAGATGAATCTCTGATTCCAAAGTTTCACAGTTTTCTTCTAGTTCTAAACAATCGATTACGTTAAAATTATAAGCGTAGATGAAGAAATAAATTAAGACGATTAATTTTTTCCCAAAATTTTTTTCCCAAAATTTCTTTCCCAAAAATTTTTTGAACCGATTTTTTTTTTTTTTTTTTTTTTTTATTTTATTTTTATTCTGCAATCTATAAAAATAATTATATTTAGCAGAGAATGCTGACAAGTGTTTACAATTAGTTGTTTACAAATTAGTACATACGCCCAGTGGTGTATCTACTATAGTTAATATATAAAAAAGAAAAAACTAAAGACAAATATAGAGAAAAAAAATATAAATATAAAAATAAACTATAATAAATCTCGAGGTATTTTCCTTTTGAGCCTGGTCGGCTGGCCTTCCTGGTATAAGTTGCATGCTAGTTGGTTTGGATGTGCGTCAATTCTATTCTTATAATTACAGGCAAACATTGATATATGTTCTTGAATTGTAGGTATACCCGTGTCTTTGTGGAGAATCCATGTTGGCGTGTAGTGAGGAGCGTTTAATATTTGCCGCAGGAATTTGTTTTGTGCTCGTTGTATTATGTTTAAATTGCTCTTTTTAGCAGTACCCCAAAGTTGTAATCCGTAGGTCCACACGGGTTTGATCACAGCCTTATATATAAGTAATTTGTTGTAAGTTGATAATTCTGATTTTCTGTTTAAGAGCCAATAATAATTTTTGAAGATTAGATCTATTTGTTGTTTTTTGTTCTTTATGTGTACTTTCCAGTTGAGTTTCCTATCTAAGTGAATGCCGAGATACTTTATTGATTCTTTGGACGGAATAATTTCATCGTTGAGTACAACTGCTGGGCAAGTTTGGGTGCGAAGCGTGAAAGTTATATGGACTGATTTTGTGCTATTTACTTCTATCCTCCACAACGAAAACCATTTCTCAGCTAAGCTGAGATGGTGCTGAAGGCTGTTGGAAGCTGCAGTCGGATCTTTGTTTGTGGCGATGATGCACGTATCATCAGCAAATGTGGCTAAACTCGTGTCAGTTGAAGTTGGAAAATCAGCTGTAAAAATTAAAAATAGTGTTGGGGCGAGGACACTCCTTGAGGCACTCCAGAATTAATTTCGGTAATATTTGAGTCCGTATCGGCGATGCTGACAAAAAAGTTTCTATTTTGTAAATAGGATTTTATTAATAGGAATAAAGAATCTGGTAAACATCTTTTAACTTTATACATTAATCCGGTATGCCATACTTTGTCAAATGCCTGCTTGAGATCCAAAAAAGCCGCAGAACAGTACTCTTTATTATGCAGCGCATTGTTAATTACGTTTATTATTCTGTGAACTTGCTCAATTGTTGAATGTTTGTCGCGAAACCCAAATTGATGGTTCGGAATAAAACTTTGTTCTTGTAGGATTATTTTAATCCGTTGAAGAATTAGCTTTTCAAATATTTTCGATATGCAAGACAATAAACTTATCGGCCGGTAGGAAGATAATAGATAAGGGTCTTTACCTGGTTTCACTATAAGGATTATTTTAGCTCTTTTCCAAGACTGCGGAAAAGTTTTCATTCTCAGTATAGAGTTATTATTGTGAGCATTCTAATAGCTTTTCTTGGAAGTTCTTTAAGCATTTTAATAGAAATCCGGTCTGGTCCAGGTGATTTTCTAGAATTTGCTTTTGCAATTTCTTGGGTTACTTCAGCCGCAGTAAAACGATTAACATCATGAGTCACTAGCGACGGTGAATCCTGAAGAAAATCATAAATGAATTGTTCATCATTAGAGTTGCATTTACGTGAAAATGGCTGAAATGTGAGGCGCAGGTGTTCGGCGAATGCATTAGTTTTTTCTTCTGGACTTCTTGCCCATGAACCGTCTGTTTTTCTTAAAGGAGGAATTGGTACAATTGGTCTTTTCAATTTTTTGGTTGCTTTCCAAAGAGAATAATTTGTTTCACTACTTGCAGAAAGATTATGTAAGTAGTTTTCAAAAGAAACATTTTTATAATTTATTATTAAATTTTTCAGGTCTCTGCATGCACTGTTAAATTTTCTTTTATCTTCCGGTGATCTAGTTATTTGCCAAATTCTTCTTAATTTCCTTTTCTGTGCAATGATTTTTTTAATATCTATGGGCACAGAGTGACTGTGATTGTGATTTAGAATAGGAGTCGATATTTTAGCTGCTGCAATTAATGTATTTGTGAAGTTGTTGATACCGATATTCAAATCATTCTCACTTTTTAATGGAATATTACAGTTAATGGTGTCTTCGATGTATTCTTGGAAAAGAAGCCAATCGGTAAATTTGTTTGTAAGCGAACTCATGACTTTGGTTGGAGTATTAGTGGAGTATTTAAGAATTACTGGTGAATGATCAGAACTGAGATCCAGACTTGAATTTATTTCAACACTCTCGTTTTTAATATTTTTGGCTACAAAAAAATCGAGGAGGTCTGGAATTTTGTTCAAATCAGTTGGCCAGTATGTGGGCTCACCCGTAGAAAATGTCCGAAGATTATTATTATTTATTGTATTATACAATTGACGGCCTCTAGGTGTTATTAGTCTAGATCCCCAAAATGTGTGCTTTGCGTTATAATCACCTCCCGCAATAAACAAATTTCCAAGGCTGGTAAAAAAAGTTGTAAACTGATTTTCAGTAATAATGTGCCTTGGCGGACAATAGATTGCCGATACTGTAATTTTGTGAGTCATTAGGTCAATTAAAACATTTGTCGATTGTATGTAGTCAGTATAAAAAGGTTCTGTCTCGTAATGTCTTATGTTTGACTTTATGATAATGGCAGTGCCACCGTGAGGTCTGTCGTCCGGGTGATTTGTGGTATATGTGTGATAATTAGGAAAACGAATATTGTGATTTGTCTCGGTAAAATGCGTCTCGGAAATTAGCATAATGTCTACGTCATTGGTAGTTAAAAATTGTTTGAGTTCATGGACATGATTGCTCAAGCCGTTCGAGTTCCATATGCAAATTGTTAGTTGCATAGACATAATTATTTTTTATTAGATAAAATTGTTGTTAGTAAATTAAGCATTATGCCCATTTGTTCTGTCAATATTTTAATCATGTTTTTAAGTTCTGTTAAGTCATTAGATTTATTGTTAGTATTGTTTTCAGAGTTACTATTGTTTATTGAGTTCGTTGAGTCAGTAGGTAAAGTTGTGTTGTTTCTAGTAATATTGGAGTAAGTTACGCCCGGTCTTAAAGTAGCATTTGGTTTTAAATTTTGCACATTACTTGTTTTCTGACGTAATGAAGTGTTTTTTTTTCAATATATTCTTTATAGACGTGACAGCCTTTATAGTTAGCAGGGTGATTTTCATTACAAAGGACACACTTCACTTGGTCGACCTTTTTTTCCCACTTGCATTTTTCTGTCAAGTGATCTTGAGCGCATTTAACGCATCTGGGGGTGCGGTGGCAATAATTTCTGGTATGACCATACCTTTGGCAGCGAGTGCACTGAACAATTTCTCTA